TCACCTCACCTTTTACCTCACCAGAAAACTGTGTAAAAAAAAAAAAAAGAGCAGCTACTTCAGTTTAAAAGGTGAGTTTGTGGGAAGGGGAGGAGACAGAAAGCAGCATTCAGCTCCAGGTCTCAGGCTACTGTCCCGGCCACACAGCTGTGTGCCCTTTTCCTACGCAGGAGCAAAGCTAAGGCAGAAACTGCTGAGGGGCCCGTTTTCAGGTGGTGTGGTTAGCATTTATGAATTTAATTGCAGGAGAGAGTGGTAACTGGGGACACCTTGGTGTGGTACCAGTTCACAAAGAATTATGGCCTTTTTGTCTTCTGACGCTGGTTGCTGTGTAGGAGAATAAAAACATGGGGTATAAAGCGAGCGGCCACAAGTGCGTGGGGTATGGCAAAGGTGCGTGGAAGCTGCAAGCACTGGCCAGGAGCAGACCCCGGGGACAACCTGGTGCCCCTCTGGCACCTTATTTCATGTAAGGGAGCAGGCTGATCTGCTCAGGAGCAGTTGGGTGGTTGCTGTTGTCCTGGTGCAGCACCTCAGTGACATTTACTGAAACGAGCCACTGGGTGCTTTCCAGGCAGCAGCTCCCCTGGGAGCTCAAGCATTTTGGAGAGAGAACCACAGGAATCAGATAAAATCCCTTCACAGTCTCCTGGCTCTCATGTAAAGTGAAGCTCCTGTGTAAAGGTGATGGCCAAGTGCTCGGGAAATCCTTTAAACACTTCCTGGACTGCGTATTCGCCAAATGTGTGAAGAACTCAAAGGAAGGGTGCCAGCACTAGATCTCATCAGACTTGGCCTCCTTCCTCCGTACCTGGTTCACCATCTTGGACCTTCAAACAGGCCATGTCACCATTTCCTGAAGAAGCACAGCAGAGTCAGCATGCCCTCTGCCAGCACCTGGAAAGCAATGTTTCTGCCAGCTAAATAGACGAACTGTACTCTCTGGTAAATGTGTGCATCAGGCTGGTTGTATTAATCACAATGTTGTTAATATGTGGTAACCATAAGGTGACCTGTGTTTTTGTGAATTTCTCCTTTAGTTTGGCCTCACAGCCATGGTTACCTGATAGCTGGCTAGCTCATTGGGCCAAGGTCAGGGGCACCTGAAGAAGTATCTGGTGGCCAGGCCACTTCCAGAGTGGTCCTCTGATGAGGGAAGCAGAGCTGAGGGGCTGCAGGCACGGCCTGCTGGACACTTTAAACACATCGTGGCTTCCCAAGCAGAAAGGACAAGTTGCTATGCTACAAAGATGCGAGAAAGAAATGCAAACTGATATGGCGAAAACCTCTGTCCACCCTGAGGGTGGTTAAGCACTGGGACAGACCAGAGGGGTTGTGACATTGCCATCTTTGGAGACTGCCAGACCACAACTGAATAAGAAGTCCTCAAGCAAAGTGATCTTATGTTGAAGTTTGTCCTCCTCTAACAGTATGAATAGTCAGAAAAGCGTAGGTTCAGCACTCTGCAAGGGTGGGTTTTGTGGACTATCAGCATAGTTCAGCCCCATATAGAAACAATTTTGCACAAAGGCTGTGGGCTAGGTTGGAAAAATGTCTTTTGTGACAATACCACAGACATGAATTTTGTTATTGCTGACACCGAGTAATAGACTAGACTAAACTAGACTATTTCAGTTGGACGGGACCTACAAAGATCATCTTGTCCAAGTCCAACTGTCTGAACAATTCAGGGCTGACCAAGTTAAAGGAAATTATTAAGGGCTTTGTCCAAATGCATCTTCAACACTGTCAGGCCTGGGGCATTGACCACCTCTCTAGGAAGCCTGTTCCAGTGTCTGACCCTCTCTCGGTAAAGAAATGCTTCCTAAAGTCCAGTCTAAACCAGCGCTGGCACAGCTTTGAACCTGCAACTTCTTTGGCAACACTAAAATATCAAGTCCTGTAAGGAAAGTAAAACCACTGATGCTTATAAAACAAAATGGATTTTGCTGTTTCTTCTTTTCTTACCTAGGCTTATTCCATTGAAGAGCTGCTCCTGTACTGAACAAAACAGGAAGGAGTCCTAAAACTTGGGAAAATAACCCCAAGAATCTGTTTCATTTAAGTCTGATCTGTAACCTTCTAAAAGGTCATTTAATCCCATCCGTCTAACACAGTCTATTTGTATAGGTAAGGGCTTATATTATCATCTTTTGAGCCATAATTTCTTGATTACAAGGGTGGAAAAGGGAAAACAGAACCTTTCCCTGGCAGTGCTCAGCTCTGAAAAATTGGACACATGGACTTACTAAGGTATGTCTGTAGGTACAAGCATTTCTGTATAACTATATTGTTGCTTTGGACCTGATGACTTTATTCTGATATTTGGGAGGCATTTGTTAGATCAGCCAATAAACTGCCTTTGGTAAGCTACAGTCTCTAGCAGAAGCCTAAAATTGTGTCATACTCAGGTTGTGAGAGACCTCAGGAGGCTTCAGGTCAAACCCCCCATGCAAAGCATGGCCAGTTACAACAGGTTGCTCAGGGTCTGTCAAGTTTTGAAAACTTCTAAGGCTGAAGATCCCACAGCTTCTCTAGGCACTTGCTCCACTGTTTGACTACCCTCATGGTGAAAACAATTTTCCTTCTATTTAATCAGACTCTCCCTTGTTGCAACTTGTGTGTGTTGCCTCTTATCTACTGTTGTGCAATTCTGCGGAACCTGGCTCCACCTTTTCTGCACCTCGCCATCAGGCAGTTGCAGACACCAATAAGCTCTCATCTTGGACTTCTCCTTTTTAAGGCTGAACAAGCACAGCTCCCTCAGCCCTTCCTTGCACGTCGTGTCCTCCAGCCCTCTGACAGACTTACTCCCGTATGTCAGTGTCTTTCTTGCTTTGGAGACCCCAAACCTGCATGCACTTCTCCAGATGTGTTCTCACAAATGCTGAATAGAGGGAACTAATAAATTCCCTTGACTTTCAGCTGTGCTTTTGTAAATGCAGCCCAGTACACTGTTGGTTTTCTTTGCCTCAAGTGCATACTGTTGACATACGTGCTACTCACACTCCTGACCCTGGCTCCTTTTATCGTAAAGCTGTTCCCTACCTGCCTACCTAGTCTGAATTGCTGCATGGGGTTAATCTGCCTCAGATGCAGGACCTTGCATTTGCTTTAGTTGAATTTCAGGAAGTACCTGGCAGCTCATTTCTCCAGCATCTTGAGGTCCACCTTGAAAGGCAGTCAGGCCCTTCCTGTAACAACTGCCCATCCAATGCCTCAGGACAGCAGCTGACACAGTTATCACAAACCTCTCCAGACACAGATTTGGTGTGGTCCACAAACTTGCTGCAAGTCCACTCTGTCATGTCCTCCAGGTTGTTATTAAAAATATTAGATTGTACCGGCCCCAATATTGATTCCCTAAAGAATGCCACTAGAAACTGGCTGACAGTTCAACCTTATCTGGATGGTTGGGCTCAAAGGATGGTCATCAGCAGTACACTTTTCACCTGTTGTAGTTAGTTAACCAGTCCATGTCACCAATTTGACTATAGGTTGTTTTAAAAAAAATAAATAAAAAACCAACAGAAGAATCCTTTTATTTTCAAAGTTTGATCAATCCAGGAAAGAAAGAGCAGCATGTTTCTGCAAAGCCCAAATAACTGTACAGCTCATTCTGCAGATAGATAGATTTTTTCTCACCAGAAAGGAAGTGCCTGTTAAAGAGAAGGAACCAGGAAGGGAGCCAGGACCAGCTTGGCCAGCATGGTTCTGCGGGCTGATACCTTTAGAAACACGTTACACCCTTCACACTTTTCCTTCCAGTGTTGCTTTCCTTAAAATCACTGAACACCCAGGTGAGGATCCATCCAACCACAAAGGACATTTTAGCATCCCTGTTGGATCCTATATCAGGGCTGCTCTGTATGTTTTGATTTTCATTCACAGGTTCTATGGAAGAAATGGAGCAAAACTTTCCACTGGGGAATGCTGCCTGGCCGTATGAGCAGTCGCCTTTCTACTACACTTTGGAGGAAATCAGGTTGTCTTCCAGTGAGTTCCAGTCACCAAATGATTTTATTGTTACAATATGATGAAGCGATTTTTATTTTGTGCACTTCATGGTGCTCAAAAACTTAGTTTTCACAGTATAGAATGGATGAGACAGCATTTGTCATGGAAGCACTCAGGAGAGTATGCTGCAAATTCGTTTGGTTGTGCTGTTTTATGAAGTTCTGCAGTAAAATGTGCCAGCAAATTATGTTGTATTAGTTTCATTCTGGTGATTAACTAATCATTCATATAATAAATAGCAGCTAACTACAAGAAAGAGATTTATTTGTCACAGAGTTAGAAGAATGTCAAACTTTTCCCATTTCATGTAAAAAGGCAGAGCAAAAATACTTCTAAAATGACTTTGCAACATGTGCTTTATTTTAAGTAAGTCATTAATGAATCAAAACTACACAGTATACCCTTTTAACATACCCTACCCACTCAATGATTTTTTTTTCTCAGTAATTTTTTTAACATGGAATGAAACCTACATTGCAATTGTAAATTTTCATGCTACAATGTTCTCTAATGAGCCATTTGTGTCACTAATAAGAGTAATTTAAGAAAAAGGCCATTTTCCAAGCTCATATGTATGCCTATATTTGGGAACTTAAAAAAACCCCATCTCAGATGTAAAAATGTGACTTGGAATATGTAAACATTTTCTTATACCTGAAACACTGGAAGAGGAATATCAGCTAACAGCAAAACAACAGTTGCCTTAAATCATCGAAATGGGAAAAAGCATGTCATGGGGAGCAGAGAGAAGCACACACTATTCAGTCTTTAAAGGGTTATAAGAAATGAAGTAGCTCCTTAGGTCATTGAATTCACTTTCTTTTCTCATCTAATGGAAAGCAGTAACTTTGAAGAGAATGGCCCAGCAGAACACCCCAACAATTCACCATAATTATTCTAGCCACTAGTTAACCTCGATGAAGTGTCAAGTTTCAGTTGCTTTTTTTTCCTGAGAAAAGCCATTGATGTTTGGTGGAAATGTCTTCTGTGACTGTACAAATAAAATAAGGCATTTAAAGAGATTGTTGCTTGTTTTCTTTCTGCTAACAGAGGTTTGTCCACAGTGTCCTTTGTACATCAAAACCTCTGCTTTTCTACAAATGGGTATGGCTAGAATGTCTTCAGTTCCCGCTGCAACCCTGGGTCTCAGGTGTCCTGAAGGCTAGTCAGTGTCCCATTACTGCAGCTTGAAAGTCAGTGATGTACAACAGCATATTGCACAATCCAATCTGTATGGCTCCAGAAAGGGTTAAGAAGGTACACTGGAGTCATCTGTGGGTTCACTCCTTTCTTTTCTCTTTAAGGGTAACGATCGTCTGGAAAATTAAATTAGCCAGACAGACAAGGATGCAAACTTTTTGTTGATTAAATTACAAAGCAGTCCCCAGATTGTAGAGGAGTGGCACATTAAAAACAACAAATCATCCAACCTTCTTCATTGTTGATCCTTACTTTGAAAGGCAGCATGGATTCCTAAGGCCGTAGCTTCCAGGACTCCTTCAGTGAAAAAATCATTGCTACCTAACTATAAAAGGCTTAGCTCTTAAGAGAATATTGTGCTTTTTTTTTCCTTTAAAATTCAGATGAAATCAACTTGATTCGCAGTGTGACACCAAAGAGATCAATTAGTTTTTTCCCTAGTCCACTTGATCATAGTCTCTGGTGAGCGATACAGGAATATTAGTTTGGCATACAGGTCTTCTTCTAGTTCCAGTTCTCCAGTCTCTCGCACTAAGAAAATGTCAGTACACAACTTCAAGATTCGGTCTACATTGGGTAGCTCCTCAAACATGATGGAGTGAGAGATCCCACTGAAAAATTCACGGACAAACTTTCCTATCACCAGGACAACCGAGGCGTATAGTCCCATAATCCTGAAAAGAAAGAAAGGACAGAGTTCAAACCATGCCTTCAAAAAGGGTCAGCCAAGTGTGAGGGAGCTCATCTACATGGTTAAGTGTAGTCTGTCAGCTGAGCGAACATTAATTTCTAATTAGGATTCTGTTTCTCCTGTGCTGCAGGATGAAGGAAAATAAGGTCTTTTCAAATACAACAGAAATCTGGGAAGATAAACAGCTGAGGCTGCTGACTTAAATGGTTTAACCCCAGTCGCTGATAGTGATGGTCTCATGTCCTGTCCGCTACAGCTTGGAAGCCACAATAGGAAATCTCACAACGGCTGGCTGCTAAAGGCAAGTCTGGTTTCATATCTATTATTTTTTATTAAAGTACATGTCAGTGGTGACAGACTAATGTTTACCTGGCCTCCCCTGATAATTCATTCTTCTATGAGGAGTTCTCCAAAATCATGCCAGAAGGGCATATGTCCCAGGAAGGCACAGTCTACTGCCTTCCTATGTCTGTGGAGATGTATTTCATAACTGCTTCACATACGGGGTCCTGGCTACAAGATTGGGTAGGTCACCAAAACTGGGCAGAGCTTGGGCAGAATTTGACCTGTAGCTAAACTAGTATCTTTTGAATGATTTTGCTTTGATAGGGAATTTGTGCGAAGGGTGCTTCTGCCTCTTTTCCCACAGCTGGCATCAAGGGTAACACCATTCCTTACAAATATGACACTTTCTACAGACAATAGTAATGGACATGAATTCGAAACTGTCACAAAAGCCCTTTTCTGGAGGTTCAAACATTACAACAACAAAAAAGAAATAACAAACATCCCAAAACCCAGCAAATACAATCACCTTGACTTCCATCTTATCTACATTATTTTAATTTTATGTAAAAATTCCTTCTTACCCATAACCAGCCAAGAATCCAAGACTTGGTGGACTGACTTTATCACTAAATATGAAGAGTTCAAGACTCTCTTCAGACGTTTTGTATCTTTTTCCAAGCTGATTCAAAACCCACCACTCACGAACTCCCTCATCGGACACATTTTTGACCAAGGAAACGGTAATGTTTTCCCATCTGCAGTCTATTGAAAAAAGGAAAGATTAATACATAGGAAGAATTGCATAAGTCAAATTGGTTTGATTCAGATACTTCAAACATTTGCATGATAAAATGACTGAGCAATGTAGGAGTAAAGGTTCATTATAATTTTCCTAAAACACATTTTGCAGTATTTCTATACAAAGTACAATATCTAGACTGCTATAGTTTTTCTTCTGCAAATCTCATCTGAATATGCATTAAATAAATAAAATGTTTCGTACCACCTACATTTTCTTCTGTATAACTGTCAATTCATTTAAATATTTTCAGGCCAAGGTGTCAACGACAGTCAGCATGTCTGCATTTCAGAATTAAAGAAACACATTTAACCTGGAGGGACAGTGGTCAGCTTCTACATGCCGAAGTGAATCTACCACTGTAAATCATTTATGTCTTGGTATGAAGGATGTTATTCTCTTATATCAAGAAAAGCATACTATCCTATTACGTGTACTGATTACACAGACAGGAGATGAACTCTGGCTCTCCTGATTTCTGGGGAATGTACATTAGCACTGCATACATTAAAGCCTTTTTGAAGAATCCCAAATGAAGAGTTCTTTAGGACAGGACCTGATTAAAGACAGTAAAGCACTCATAACTTATTGCTACTCCTAAAGCTAGGTTCAGCCTCAATAATTATTTTTCCCAATTACTCTGAGCATGCTCACTGAACCTTGAGCAGTAACGGACTACATAGTACAGTAATGTACTACATAGTACTACTACTACGCCTGAGTGCCAAATTTATCCTCTGTTGAGCAAACTGTTCTTAGATAAAGACTCGTTCCTACTCTTCTGACCCAACAGGTTTTTCACATGCGTGTATGTGCATGCACGTGCCTGTATTCTATATGTCTGTGAGAACCTGTATGCATTCTGACTGGGTAATAGCACTCTGAAATTCAATGATTTATCTAAACTGGATTCTTTGTGGCCAATAAGGAAGGAACAGCTGGGGAAAAAAAAAAATCCTGCAGTGTCATTATTTAAGCTGAGGAGCTATGTTTGCAGACATGCAGGACTACTGACTGCGGTAAGGTAGCAGGGAGAGATGCGGAGAAGTGAAACTCGTCGTCACTTCCTCAGAAGGGGAAGCAGTTCCTGAAAGCAGACTTGAAGGAAAGGAGCCGGACTTCATCCTTAGCGTCCTTACTGTTAAATACAAAGCTAAAGTACATCCAGATGCATTTTCTGCCTTATACTGTATTACCTCATCTCTCCCCAAGCTTGCAGGCACCAGGTAGAACCCATTTTAAGTGCATTTCAGCCTGAGGTGCCCCATAACAGCTCAGTGAATGTGCTGTTATGTGAAAGTGTGAGTGCTGTGTTGCACTTCTTTCAAGCATGCTCCATGGTTTTCCATGGTCTGGACACATACCTGTCAATAGCTGCTTTATGGGTTTTGCCAGAGAATCACTAGGAGCCTTGATGTAGTATGGGTACACCTTCTCTAATGTTCTGGAAAAAATGAAAACGCAAATATTTCATATTTTTATACCTCTAAAATAATTTAGAAATACCTAACAGAGCTATACACAGTTCCCAGTAATTCTTGGCTTAAGCTATGATTTTATAGTGTTCAGATGTCACATCAGAAAGTTAGCTGGATTTATTAACTATGTTCTGTCAGTACTTCAGCAGGGAGCTCCATCCATAATGTCGCCATTCACACGCCATGAATTCCACACACCTGGGGCATGTGTGTTTGCAAGGAATGTGGACTTTATATTTTGTTCCCCTTTTTAACAAAGTTGCTTTTATGGTCAGCTATATAAGCAGCACAAAGGCAGGCAACATATCACCAGTAGTAAACAAGCTAGAAAAATATGTAGCTAGAAAAATATGTGGTGAGAACAGTTACTACTTCAGAATTGCAAGATGTTTCGATAATAAGACCTGAAAAGAGTGAGAATTTTTGCCAGAATCCTTCACTGGGAAATATTTTCAGAGGTTTTAGGAGGACTTCAAACTTAAAAAGAAAGATGTTTGTAAAAATCCTTCCACTGGACTCAAAATTAAACCACCTTTAGTGGTAATAAATTACCAGCATCCAGAGAGAGAGAGAGAGAGATCATTAAAAGCAGATATACTGTCCTTTATCCTCAAATGACTGAAAAGGTCTAGAGAAGGGGAGCTCTCAGGGAAGTCCTGTGAGATTTTGCTACATTGCATACACCAGGCTGAGGAAGAACAGAGGTGGCCAATTTAAAATCCCTCCTGACAACTCCAGCAGGCCCAAAAGACAGGTCAGCAGCTAAGTTGTCCAGCACAGGCGGTGGCAGAAAGCTCCCTGCTGAAGTAGTCAAATGGCTACTAGCTGCTGCAACCATTTTTCCTTTATTACAAAGTAAAAAAAAAAGCTTAAATCAACAATATTATTGCAACACAGGCAAATACAGGTGTATCTTCTATATTACTGCTTGCCTCCTGCAAAGAGAGAATTATGAATGAATTACCTCTTCCCACAACAGAGCAAAACCTACCCTTCTTGGCAGTATATCACCTTCGGAAATATTCCCATATCCTGACACAGCAGAAAATAAAAGAGGTGTACAATATTTTTTAAATGCTATGATCAGATGTGCCACAGCAGTCTGTTTGGATGTACAAGTGTGCGTGGGTGCAGAAAAATAGCTGTGCACAGAAAAGACAAATCTCATTTCCACCCACTAACAGAGATGAACCTCTCAGAGTTTTGACTATCCCATTTGGCCTCAGCTTTAACTTTTCAACTCTTGTGGCCACAAATCAGATCAGGTGGCCTTCAGGGATGACGTATGGGCTTAGCAGTATTTAGAGACTACTGCTGTAAAGTAATCCCCAATTGAGCAGGCAGAAGAGGAAGAACCAGACTCCTGTCAAACCTGAAAGGAGGCACCACTGCTGTTAATGCTATAAGGCTATATCCATAGGATAATGCTTGATATTCGTATGAAGAGCATGCTCTTTCTGCCTTGCTAATTTCTATGACTGGAAAAGATCTGATGTCAGAAACGACTGCAGATGTTACCCTTTGACCGCAGTGATTTAACACTTCCTTGCCAACCTAATACTATTCAGGAATAACAATGCTAAATACAGTCTGGATGGTTATTTAGAACAAAAAAATCATCCTCAGATCAAGTTGAACTGAAGTAACTGAAAGAAGACCTTAACTGTGAATATGCTGTAATGAACTTGTGCTTATCCAATAAATCAAAGAAAAGTAACTAATAGCTTCACCATGCTTGTTGGTGGTGTTCCAGTGTTCATGGTCTTCTCAGCCTACATTTATCACAGGAATTAAGCTTTTACCTCTAATGTTACTATTATGTGACTTCAATGCTGTTGGCCTCTGTGAACCAGGCTCCAAAGTTATTAGATGGGGATAGATGGGCAGACAAAATGACACGGTTGCACAAGCCTGACCTCCTTAGGAAATTAGGTTTAGGAAGGGAAGGTTTGCATATAAATAGGCAAAGAAAATAACTTACACCTTTTCCAGTTGCTGTCCAGACATCATTGTAGCAATATCTCTTCTGGTGTTCTCTGGCAGAACAAAGGTAAGTTTATCTGACGCTATTTCGGCTTTGGCACCAAGGGTGAGATTTCTGTCGGAAGTAAAAGGGAAGACACACTGTCAACCTACAATGAGAGCATAACCAAAACACTTGTTTGCTGAACGCTAGAGCTAGTTGTCTAACTAGTCTAACTGCACTGACCCTGGCTATCTCGGGCTTTGCTAAAGCAAGCATCATGCTACCTGTACCTGAGGTGGCGTGTTTTCCCACAGAGGATATGTAGCAGCCTTAAAGGTGTATTTTTCTGACTGACTGTGCCTTTGCATGTATTACAGGGCAACGATGACAGATTAATACAATTTTGCTCATTATGTCAGTTAAAACAGAACGGGAAAGGCAGCGTGCCTGCTCTGACTTGGGGCGACGGGACCCTCTGTGTCACCGCGCGTTCTGTGCCAGGGCAGCTAAGGATGCTGCAGTCAGCTACGGCTCCCTGAAACCCCACCTCAGCCCACAGCGGCGTGCGGCTGACCGGCTGGTAGGACCCTCACGCCTCCCCGCAGCCTTCACGCCAGCTGCAGAACACAGCTGGGGCAGGGTCAGCTTCCGCACAGCGCCCTGCGCCGTGCCTGGCGGCCGGGGCGCAGCTCCTGGGATGCTGGGGGCTGCGGAGAAACGTCCCTGGAAGATGATGGGCAAAAGGCAGAAAGCACGTTCGCTGCCCGAGTGACACAAAGGGCTCATCTTACAGCTGCTCACCGTCTCCTGCCCTAGATGAAAGACAGCGGTTTCCCTTTCCGGAGGTTTTTCCGGAAGGTCACTGTGGTAAGTCGTTACCACTTTCAGTCATTCACGGTCACGATGTAATCCACAGGATATAATTTGAGGGTGAAAAAGGTCTCTTTCAACTAGTGTATGAATGTTTGTAGTTACGCAAGCACATGGGTAAACTGAGTAGCAGTATTAAAAATTAATATAAGGTTCAGAAATGATGGAGTGATGTAATTCACTGTATGCTTCCAGGAAAATAAGGGGGGGTCAAATAAAGTTGAATTAAGGGTGAAGATTCATTACAAGCCTATTTTTGACTTTGGAAGGACTGACCCAGCATGTTCAGAGCTCCCACAGTGATTCAGCTGACCTGCTGCTTGTGCACAGTCGTTTGCTGAGGATTGCTATAACAATCCAGCGTCTAATTCCAACAAACAGGTAGATACTGGGGCTGCAAAGGTACTTAATATCCATGGAGTGATGACTTAACTCCAATTTAATCCAGCAGTCTACAGGGATCCCAGCTGGCAGACAGTAGCCAACAAACCACCTTGGTGTGCTCTCGCCTGCATGCAACTACTTTTTATTCTAGGCTGTCTCTTGCAAAGACTTCATTGTAAAGTAATAGTTCACTCAGGCCAAAGGAACCACAAGTAAACAGGCAAAGGTCTTGACAAAATGGATCTGTGCCACTGTTATGTTATTTGCACAAGAAAGTCTCTGAGTACACATGTATTTAAAAAAGTTTGTGTCAGTTCTAGACTCCCTCAATAAGAGGACCAAGCACTTCTGTCTGTATTTCCGCAGTTTTTCTGCCTTAACTAGGTCTAAGTATTCAGTTCCCATAAATGCTAACAAGGTCGTTGCTTGGGGTAGCTTATTTGAACATCTCCATCTAAAACTGGCTAAAATTTTCTGACATTTCCCTCCTTCCCCTCAAGTCGTGCCCCCCCCTTTGCTTTTTTTAAAAATAATGTACTTGGAAGTGGCTACACTCCTCTTTTTATTTTTTGAGAACTGCAGGTAACAAATATTTTCCTGGGTAACAAAGGCCACTTCTCTCTGTCTCTCTGTCCCAATTTCAGGTTTTTTTGCTCCGCAGTACAATAGAATTTGCTGAAAAACTAAACCAAAAAAGCAATGTGAAACTGTTCCGCTGAGTGACCGCTTGGCAAATGATCCATCAACCTTATAACAGCCATGTTAATTACCTTTGAATGCTCCACGAAAGAACTACAGTGAACTCGGCTGAAAAATCCAGCAGTCCCTGTATCATTTTCTCTCTGCTGGGAGGGCTGATGGTCCATAAAGAGTTTGAATTTCCCTCTAGATCTGCTAGAGTTATATCTTCTTTTCCATAGCCCTCTAGAAACTGCAAAGCAGCCTGTAGGTGCAGAAGAGGAAAATAAAATATCAGTGCGGTGATATTCATAAGGCACAGAGCCACATTTCCCAGTCAGGCAGAATTGTAAATGTTTGAATAATTGTAGGTGCAGCAGTTTGCACTGATTGTTTTCCTCAGGTACCAACTGGGGCTTTAAATGGGAAGGGGAATAAGTAAAGTATAGTCGAGCTAAGAAGACAAAACAAAAATGGCCCTGCTGTTTGAAGAATGATGGCCACGTAGGCCAAAGTGAGTCTGGAAGTTCATCAGGTAAACTCTGTAGAGCCTATTTAAATGTAAGTTAAAATTTTACTCTGTCTTTTGTTAAGCATCTTTCTGCATAGACAGATGTCTGCAAAGGATAAGGCAACTTGAAACTGGTAACTTCCAAAGTGGATCAAGATTACAATATTACCGCTATAATATATGGGCTATTTGGTAGGATCTACTATAAAAAAAAAGTTAATGCTTGAATGAAGCAAGCACTTCTTTTAAAGTTATATCTGATCAAACCCCAGTTACTTTAGTAATACGACAGCTTCTACTAATTACTAGTCTTTTTCCTGTAGAAACATGTGATAACTTTGTGCATGTTGCACCATGCAATCGTGAGACTACGTTTACATGTTCGTGTTTTGACATTTTAATGTCAAAACCTTCCTAGGCCATACATACTTTCTTTTGACAGCACCACATCTCCTCACTGGTAGGTGAAAGCTCTGTGTGCTACAGGAAGGAGTACGGGGCTTAAAAGAACCAACACTGTTGTGTCCCTACAGCACACTTGTTTTGGCAGTATACCAACAGCTTCACATCTTCTGAAGCTTTGTGTCGTTTAGAGAGGAGGTTTTTATTCAGGCGACAGGACAACCAGGGTTTCCGTCTTCCATGATTTTGTGCAAAGATGTCTCGATTGATGGTAACTTATCTCGCCGTAACCCAGCCCTGTCCTGACAAGTGATCTGTCCAAACCCTTACTCATGCAAGCCCTCTTTATGGAAACATCTTCCAAATGATGGCAGCGCTGCGGGTCACTTACGACTACACAAACAAAACTCACAGAAGGCCTCCATGGACACATGCACACATTTTTAAGTAATGATTTATTCTACAGTTCACTTACAGTGTTACCCCTATAGCTTCCCAGAAACGCATTGAAACCAGTCTGATTCAAATCCTTGAGCTGACTCTGTTGAGCACTCATTGTAAAAATAGGCTGGGAAACAAAAGAACAGACACTTGTCACATTTACTTCGCATTAGCATCCTGTGCATCACAGCCCAAGACAATTATGGCACTCAATTCAATTCTCCACTGAGAAGCAAGCTACCTCCAATTACCGTGTATTTACCATGTGGACCCGTAGGCAGTTATCTGAGTGTACCTGACGTAGGATAATTTATTCAGATTCCACTGCCAGTAGGTTCTGGTTTAAACTTGCAAATGAAGATTAATATTTTACAGCAGTGATAAACTAACAAGTTTTTAAACCCAAAATGGATCATTTGTGGGAGCTTGCCTGATCTCTTGCATAAGGCAGGAGAGTTCAATTCAATGAAGGGAATAAGAAATAGCACAAGGAAATACAGTGCTAAAACACAGTTTGCTTTTAGTCTTTCTTCTTTTTTACCTGATAACCTCCTAGAGTTATTGTGATTGATACATCTAGAGGCTTGTTGGTGATGCCTGCAACAGATTTGATTAAAGACATGAAGAGCAGTGGGAACCAGACAATACAAATCAGCAAGACGATAATCATGCCACCCATTCCATACTTCACAACTTTCTTTTTCTTCTGGCCTCTTGGTTGGGGATATCTCTGCAAAAGCAAACAGCAACATGGTAATGTCTCATCTATCAGATGTGCGCTTGGTATGAGTTGATGGGTGAGTATATAACAATCGTAAGGCTTCTCATCTTCTGTGGTAATTTGCTACCTGTTGGCAGGCCAGTTATTTTGAGATTTTTAGCCAAACCCGTACAGACAGTGAATTTCTGGTGACAACAGAGAAAAGTGCCAGATGAACCCATGCCAAGTGTGTGTCTGGTGTGAAAAATATTGTAAACCTCTCTGGTTTTGAATCTTCACAACCATAAAGACGTGAAAAATTGGGTAGGGTAATTTGAGTTTTTTGTCTGAATTAGTGCAAGCATGAACTCACAGGAACCAGATGTAAAACAACAGCAGCAACAGTGATACAACAATTTGTTCAAAAAAATTATACTGGGAGTGACCCACTTTCTGCTATCTGTCCTTCCAAAAAGTCTTAACTCAAAGCTCCTTAAGGCAGAATTCCTCTCACAGAGCTTGAAATGCTGCAAACTGTAGTTGAGGGGAAAAAAAACCAAACACGTTTGGCAGCAGCTGCCATGCCCAATCAGTAGGATTGTCTGATATTGCACTACCTCCACATTCATTTCAGCTCACATACAGTATTTCTAAGAGTTGTTCACAGGCTTGATCCAATCTGTTCCTAGTGAATCCCACACCAGCTGCATTTAAATAAAGTTTAAAGTTGTGTCGCTGTTACGCCTAAAGTCTTGACACTGCTGATGTAACATCCTTCCCCTTCTTAGCTGCTGAGACCAAAAGTGACTTTGCTTTTACCCTTCTCTTTTCAAAGCAGATCACACAGCACGTCTGTTCTGCTTTGTCCATAATTGCCACCCTCTGTTACTGGCCTCATGATTGAATACTTAAAAAGCTTCACCATCCTGTAAAATGCCTCACCATCACTGTAATTTATTCTGGTGTATTCTCTTAGAGGATTTAACTCCACACAGCTTTTTAGGATTCTGTCTTTCACGCACTGCATACTGCATGTGCAAGATAAAGATGCATTGTATTGCACTGCACCTCAAACACACACCAGAAATCTGGCTTTCAGGAAATTATTTTTGCTGTACAACATGAATCCATAAAGCCCTAGGAGAATATTAAATGTGTAATACAATGCTATATTTAAAAGAAATTAGTTACTTCTCAAAAGCAGTGTATCAAGTCATTTGTCTTGCACTACAGAATACTGTTTTCATTAAAATACCGTATCAAGATCACCAGGGGTATATTATTTGTCTGTGTAAGATTAGTTCAGGCACCTTTAATGATGTTACAGAACAGCTCAGAGAGCCTCTAGCAGTCAAAGTACTTAGGCGTACCGCTCAATGTGAGAGAGAATCAAAGTACCTTGAACAACGCTCAAAGTCATGGGTAGTTATTTTGCTACATGGCATTAGCACACACACGCTAGCTTAGACGTGGAAATATTCCCACATCAGATCTATGCTACATATAATGCAGAGTGATCCTGTTGTAGCATTAAAAAATGCAGCGAGACGGACAGTCAAAGTAGAATGGATTATTTCTCCGACTCGTGAAGCCTCTGATGACACTCCATTCATGGGAGAAACGGAAGCCATACACAAAAAGCCTATATACAAGATTTCTGTGAGCTTCAGCTCTGTGTTAATCTAAGTGACATAGTTGGAAAGTAATTGCCATTAAGAGACAGGATTATAATGAAAGTAGAAATACGTCAGTAACACTTAAAAATACAGCTGTTTCATTGCAGATGTACAATTTCTGACTGGTTGGGTCACTCTTAAAAGAACGCTTAATTTCTTTTTCAAATTGGCAAAATAAGGAAGCATATGGTTGCAATCTTCATAGCGGTTATAAGGAATCCAGAATTTGCAGGTTTAATTTGAACTGAAGCTTAAATGGTTTAAAGAGACTGAAATTTCAGTCAGACAAATGGTGGGTTTATCTGGCCTGCAATTCAGTTCTGGATGTGCGGGGACTCGCCCGAGATGAAGGAGCCAGCCGAGCTCCCTCTGTGGTTACACGAACCAGGTGTCCTTGGGACCTACACCATGGAGGCACGAGCTCCTCCTTCTGCTGACCTTTCTCTTCAGCTACGCTTTCCCTGCTACTGCGGGTTACTCATTGAGTTGTTAGGGACAAGGGCAGCCTGTGTGAATACCAGGACTTTCAAGCCCGGCCGTGACGCTCAGGCACGCAGTGAAGCTAGCAGGCGTGTGCTTGTGGAATTCACGACAACGGTGGAAAAACCAGCCAGGCACAAAAGAGAAGCCATTTGAAATTCCGCTTGCGGTGACTGCCAACTCACATAAAGTACACAACAGTCTGAATATTTCTGAACATAAACACCAGGTGTATCTTCTAACAAACTGTCTGTATGGTGGATTTTGCAATTATTTAGGGACTCGTAATTATTTCTCTTCACTTCTGCACGGGGGAGAGGAGGCTTGGATCACTCATATGGGGCTTCCTTACTTTTTCTGACTCTCGCCAACACTTCAGGATGAATATATGAGCATAGATATCTTCAACACAGATCCAGCTGGAAAGACTGAGAGTGGTATCAGTCCAAACCCAGTCCATTACTGCTCTCAGCTCTGTCAAAAATGGAACCAGGCGGAACCTGAAGGGAGATCACAGCAGACAACTTGTCAGAAGTGGAGGGATCACATTAAATGAGCACAGGAAGTGTATGTAAGACAAAAGGGAGGATTAAGCCAATGTTAAAAAACAGCTTAATGGGAGATTTTGCAAACACAAATATAATCGTATCCTGAGATTGCACGGCTAGTATTGATGTTTTGGGGGTGGTATCTTTTGCCATAGCTTGTGTTCCTCTAGATCTCCTTGTCAGGCCATAAACACGCTTTTGCATTGTTATGCCCGGTAATTGAGGTTGAGCTATTGAGCTTTCCTGCACCCCCAAATTCCTCAGACCTGGGACTGGAGTACAGGAACATCCTTTCCACAGAATGGTGGGAATTTGTTTTGTAACTCCTGCATTAACACTCCTAACTCCTGAAGAGTCTCAAATGTGCATGCACCTCAAAAGATACACAAAGGAAACATTTTTGATGAATAGCTCTTATTTCTCACGTGTATTGTCTTTCACTTTATTCTTCTCACCTGCTGAGGTAGAGCCTGTAGACCTGCTCCAAAGATCTCTTTGGGATTTGATGCCTTACTACTTTTTAGGACTGCAGAGCAAATAATGTTACCTGTTTCTAGCACAATGTGTAGATCCTAACTCTGTTCACAGAGGTGACTTCTTAGAAGTGTTAAAAATGTCTCTTCCATAGGTATGTCAGGCTTCCGGATTCAGAGTGGGGGACTGATTTTTCTGAAATTTGCATTCCTGAAATTAATTTTTGTGGACTACAAGGGACATATGACATGTAACTGAGTGTGCTGTGCAAAATTTACTGTCTCGTTTCCAGCAGCCTGTGAAAAGAAGTCATGAAAAACCCCAGCATCTCATAACAGATCCTTATTTCACAAAAGAAAGGAGGAGGGCAGTAGGTCTAGACTTACCCTTGAAATAAGAACAGGTTGACATAGTTATAACTTTTTGTGAGGAAGTTGCCAAGAACACGAGTTGGATATCCGCAGCGTATCTGATATGCCGATAAGCCAAAATAAACACATTTCACAAAATACCAGAGCTGGGCAACTGTGTTCTGGCTAAATTTCCTGTAATGGAAAAGACAGATAAAGGAAAATGATGAGCTTTGTATCTGTGTATGACCAAATTAGCTTGAAATGTTTTGTGCTCCTGGCAGTTTCCCTTTCCTGAGATCCTGTAAAATGCCCTTGGTTTCTGACCCCACTGCAGGGTTAGAGCAGTATTTGAAAGACACTGGATGAGAGTCTATAGACAGCATCTGTTGTCACCTCAGGTTCACAGGGGAGAGACTCTTGAAGAGTGCCCTCTCCCTCTGGATGCTAGAGGTACCTTGCTGCCCAACACAGGCCAGCCTGCCCTTGGTCCCTCTGTGAGCCCTGTAGACACCGCTTCTCTTGGCTTTTCAGAGGGCTGACATCTAGACTGAATCTAGGCAGCTTTAATTGCTATTTGTGTTCACAGGGGCACCTCCAAGGTCATAAACCCATACCAGAATTTAAGTTGGAGTGACCTCTGAAGATCATCTTTTTCACCCTTTCCTGCTTGAATCAGGTCTAATTACACCAAATTATTCAGGGACCTGTCCAGTTGAGTTTTGAATATCTCTGAAGGTGGAGAACCCACAACCTGTCTGGGCAACCTGCTCCAGTGTTCGACTACTGTCACGGGGAAAAGATTTTTCATCATATCTAACTGGAATTTCCCTGTTTTTCCAACTTGTGGCTTTCTGTCCTATCTGAAAAGAGCTTACTTTCTTCTCAATGCCCTCTTAATAGGTAAGGAAAGACAGCTGTTCACTTTCTCTTCTCCAGACTGAGCTAATGCTGTTCCCTCAACCTCTCCTCACATGTCATGTGCTCCATCCCCCTGACCATCCTGGTGAACATGAGCCACTTCTGACTACAGTTCAATAGCATGGTGGAAATGCAGGGGATGCCTCATGATGGACAGGATTTGTGAGCCAAACATGATCCAATATTTTCAATTACATCCTGCAAGACTATTTTCATTAAGAAATTTGCAGGGGCTTCTAAGAATCAGCCTGATTCTTAGGAATACAGGAGGTTTCAGATGCAGATTTGAGATTAACAACTTGATATAAATTTCATAAAAGCACAGGGAAAAGTCAAAACAATTTTACTGGCTTTCAAGTGACCAAATCAAGCCCAAAGTTTCATTTCAATTGCCAATTTGCAGCAGACAGGACATCCACTTGAAAACTGCATTTTTTTTTTTTCAAGTTGGGGCATAATTACTACTGCACTGAGGAAAAATAAAACATTTGTTTCTGAGAGGTAATGAGACCTTTCAGTCTTTGTTTACATTATGCACCTATTTTGCTTTTTCCCAGTAAAATAAGTTGACTGTTAACAAAGTGTAATGTGCCCAGGTGACACAATATCCCTGTGTAGCCAATGGAGTAAGGTAAATACTTCAAGGCAATTTGAAGTCCTAAGTAAGAAGGGAGTTAGCCAAGCACTGGAGAGTGAACCTTAGCACCTTTGTAGTGCAGACTGAGGTGATAACTGCCTTGAGGGATGCAATAAGAAATGTTAGATTTTGGGGTGAACCTGATGAGGCATGTGATACAAGAATTCACAGAGCAGGTGACCACCTCTGCACCACCTCCAGAGCCATGTGGCAGGAGCAGGGGAAGAGAACTTTTACTCTTCAAAAGAGACATAGATTTTAGGCATTGCTCAGTCTAAGGGGATTTAAATCCACAGTTCACACATTCCAGGAAAGTCCTAAATTATAAGTTACTCTGGGACATTTTCTACTCACTCTTCTAAACCAGCATGCAGCAGTCTTGGGAGTAGGGAACTGCATCAGAGGCCAACATTGTCTCAACTGAGGGCTCTAATCACTCGATTACAGGCAAGTTCTCTTTCACTTGCTTGCATTTTGGCTTAAGTTGAGAATATTTTTGTACATACTTATATAATTAATTCTTCCTCAAACTTATGTTGGCCACAGTTATTGCTGTGGAAAGGCACTCCAACATTTTGCTTAGAAATGAGACCAAAAGGAAACCTGTTCACGATTCCAAAGCTTAGCTATAACCATATCAAATTTAAATACAAACAACTTGGTAGAGCATCAGTATTCAACTCATATTGTCTGACGATAAGGGTTATACCTTTCTGTCACTCCAGGCAAGATAAAGAACATCCAGAAATGTATTCCAAAAACAAGGATGACCTGGAAGATGACCTTTCCCATGACAGTCTTTTTGAGGTACAGTGCTCGATCTACCACCATGGTACCAAACTGAATGAGCACCATCACCAAAAATGCCTCCGGGACCTGATCCTCTGATAACGAAGAGGTGATATCTGCTGCTGCAGAGTGTTTCTGAAAAGGAAAATATAACAAGAGTGGTCAAGAAAGGAGGACACTCTCATGATATTTAGCATCTACAGCATGTAAATCCTACTGAGGATGTAAATCCTACTGAGGATGTAAATCCTACTGAGGATTTACAGATAGATGCCTCTGTGACATACCCCAAAAGCCCAAAATCCAAACACAATGATGATGAAGTCCACTGTATCTGCGAGGAACATCAGCACATACACATCAGTCACTGCACTGTAGTCTGGATGAATAAGATTGTAGAAAAACTGTCTGATGGGCACATACACCTGGAGAGTCCTAAAACAACATAGACCACAATGTGATTTAACAACACTGTAACTTGCACTGAAGAAAAGAATGGCTGGGGGTGATATGATTAATGTTTCTGAAGATATCTAAGATCTACTCTGACAGCCTTCACAGGGCTTCACAGACACCAGTCCCTTGTTCTGATTGCTTCTAAACCACTGTATTAGCATGTGTTCAGCAGAAATATACATAGCCAACGAAATTCTCATGGAATGTTTAGCTTTTTTTATCAGGCAGATGCTATTTGAACTGATTTGTCTAATGTTCAGCTCGTGGGACTTAGAGTGAAAGCATCCACATACAATGAATTGTATATGTACTCAGAAGTAGTAACCTGCTCTCTTTAAAATGCTGTTTTACTGCTTCACTGTTTGCAACCTCACCCCAAACCCACATAACTCCTCACATTGCTCACTTTTTAATTGTAAAGGCCTTGGCTTTGATCATTTGTTCTCGAAACTTTTCCATAAGAAGCTCTTTTCTAGATTTTTGCTTGATGCTTAAAACGCTGCTTCCTTTCTGACTGCTGTTTCGTGTACTGGTACTTCCTGAAAAAAAAAAAAAAAAGGAATCCAAAATCAAAGGTTAAATAAAAAAAACGGAAAATAATAAATCTCAAGACTTTCATCCTATATATGTGTCCCACATTTGAAAGAAGCTTTGAAATGAATTCTTATGCTTTTTTTTCTATTATGATAAAATCTGGAGAGCATCCAGTAAAGGTTTAATGAGTGGCAGATCAAAACTTGATTAATAACTATAAAAAGAGAAGACTATTGATAAAGGCATGTATTTGATTGATCTGACTCAGTCATCTCAACTGGTAATATATACGTTCACGCAAGAGTAAGCCTGTCCTTTTTACAAGATGGCATAGGTAACCTGTTTCAATATACCTAAACAAAACTTCTTCTCACTTCAAGTATCATCAAATGTAGGTGAAAAATACATATGCTTTGCATTCCCTCTAGCTGGAGATTATGCTGAACCAGAAATTCTGGATCTGGTCCACACTGAGCATTCCTTTCACAGCTTTTGGATAAAGTAATTTTAAAAACATAGTGAATCGCAAAGTATGGCTCTCCATTTGAACTTTAAGAAGGCCTGGAGTGTGTTCAGACATGAAGATACTTGGGTTCATATCCTATTTCCTTACTGAGGAGCAGCAGCATTCAGTAGCCTCTGGGGTCTCCACAGCAATCAGCACAAGGTTTCAGCAAGATGATCCTATGGGAAATGAATGTTTGCTCTTCAAATCCCAGAAATGCCATGACATTTACCTCTCTTAGATCTGTGTGAGGAGAAGCTGGACCTGTGTGAAAGCTGTGACACGCTGCTAGAGCTCTTCCTCCTGATGGCGGTCTGCTGCTCGGGGAAGTGGACGTGGATAGACTCCACCGATGCTGCAAGATTGACGGATTTCAAAGAGGCAGAAGAGTCTCTCCTGCCTCCTGTCAGAGAGAGCTCGTCATCAGTATCCTCTTTATTAGTGGAGCTGTCCCCTTTCTCGTCTTCATCCCATAATCCATGGCACTGGTGTAAAAAGAAGAAGAGAGCATTTCAGCCTTGTATTCCTGTCACAGTATTTATCACAGGTATCGTTAAGCTCAGTCATGTGTTCACAAGGGGGAAGACAAATTCATTGTGTTGGGATATCATAGAATCATAGAATCACTTAGGCTGGAAAAGACGTTTAAGATCATCAAGTCCAACTACAAGCCTAACACTGCCAAGTCAACCACTAAACAATGTCCCTAAGCACCACACCTACACGTCTTTTAAATACCTCCAGGGATGGTGACTCAGCCACTTCCCTGGGCAGCCTGTTCCAATGCTTCACAACCCTTTCAGTGAAGAAATTTTCCCAATATCCAAATAAGTGACTTTCCTATATTACAAGTGACTAAAAAAATTAAACTAAAAATGAAATATAAACTAAGAAACTACATGAACTCAGATTACCTTTAGAATGGATCTGTGGAAGAATAAAGCAAGGAGCTGAACGAGATCATAGTGCACGTAACCCTCTTTCTTCTCAATGCCAATAATATTGGGTGGATGGTAAGGTTTATCTTTTGTGTAATCCACATATTTATTCCAAGGAAAGAACCCAAACTGGAAGAAGTACTTGATGACAATGGCCACCTGTTCAGAAACACAACAGACTTAGAGTGTTTTGTAAGTGTGGCAGATATAATAGCCTCATGACATTAAGAGGGGTGAAATATGACTACTTTGTCAGTTTTATGAGAAGATAAAGAAGCATATTCATTGCTACAGAGGAACAACAGTTCAGATTTCCTCAGTAATAAAGTCAATCAACATTTACCAACAGATGATGCTCAGTGGTACCTCAGACACCACAAGCAGCATACACTGTGTCTTGATTACCAATTATATAGTAGCTGTTTGCAAATCATCTGTTCTTGTGATAACTGCTTTACATGCCAGGAAAGATACTGCTTGTTGCAATGAAGAAAAAACACAAACAAGACCTTTCCATACCACAGAAATTGCTGAGGACTTTATCAAATATTTATATTAATATGAAGTGCCAAAGGCCCCTAATCCTAGAGATCAAAACCAGAAAAGAGACCATGCAAAGCTTACAACTTAACTCTTTTGTGTTAGACATGGGGTTGCAAAAACAGCAGCATACCTCAGTGTAGACAATGGCTGTCATCCAGAAACGTTTGCTTGGCCGAGGAACAGACAGCATGGCCCAAAGGAATATAAGGATGGGAAGCACCAGGGTTATCATGGAGGCAGAGATCATGTGGTTAAGGATGATCACAAAATAGCACACCATTTCTGACCGGGCAACCAGCGTATTGTACAGAGCATAAATAAGAAGCAGGACTCGAGGCTGACCAACATAGAACTTCTCTGACTCCTCCAGCTCATCATCGTGAAACATCCTGTGAGGAGCAGAGTACCATAAATGAAATGAAAATTAGTTTCACAAGAGCTGCTTTTTAAATTGCTACTATTTTTCCCTTTGAAAAATTATAAAATTCTGCTGCTGAGTTCAAGGGGAAAAAAACCCAAATGATGGGATTTGGTATTATAATCAAATAGTCTGATTCTAAGCTCAGAAAACTAGAATTTCAAGCAAAATAACTAGAAGTACTGTTCTGCTGATTTTTAATTTACCCAAAGAGTCCACCTGTCCCAAGAACTTCTACAAGCACTTGCTCGTAGTGCGTGGCTTGACAAAAGATCTCATTGAAAAGCAAAAATGGCTATGGAAAAACAGAAGAAAAGACATTGCATCTACAAAGTCAGATTTACACAGCCTCCTTCTCTGTCCAGATGCAGTCAGGCTGAAAGGCATTTCTGTAGTTTAAGATTTTGTCCTTGCATTCGGGGAAGCTCTCTCCTAGCTGAGTCAGGCCAGAAAGCAGAGGAAGAAGAGCCATGGCACCATCCCCACCTCAATGATGGTTGTGCTACTGACCACAGTGTCTGAGGGGCAAAGAGGGGCACACCCTATCCCTTATGAAAGTACTTAGCAAGGTGGTCTCTCTACATAGCCCTCAGCTCCTACTGGCTTAGACAAAAACTCTGCCAAAGGTCAGAGCTTCCCTTATCATAATCCAACATAATTAAAGGAGAAACATTTTCCCAGAAGCCCCTGGAGGAAACTTATTTGAAACCACAGCTGTCTGGAGAAGAGAAGTCCTCTCCACAAGGAATATTCAGAAAAGTCTTTGACCCCACGACAGCTGCAGCACAGAAATATGATGCTAATTGGAACAATTAGCTATGGCATCTGGGGAGAAAGTGGAGATTCTTTCCAACATGAATTCGAATCATTTTAGAGAAATGTAATTAGAACAACTGCACAGGAAATGAACTTCTTCCCCTAAATCAAACTTAGCACAAGGTCTGTATCAGAAACTGTAGGCTAGATCTGAGACAAAAAAAACCAAAGTAATGACAAAACTTCACAGATTGGGACCAACAATTTTTCCCTGTCAAAGGTCCTTACTTGTTCAGAAGCAGCTCACTAGCTGTTAGCTCATGTGTCAATGGAGGGAGAATCGTATCATTAAGTTTGTCCGTCCGACTGTCGTCTGGGCTCACCATCATGAGGCTCTTACCAGCTGAGTCAACTGGGGAGCCAAAGGGAAGGTGTTCAAAGCTGACAGCTTTGCTATAGGAAGGTGGAGCTTCTGCATTGCTATCCACAGTGGAGTACAATGGCACATCAGTATCAGGAGTATACGCAGCTCCTTCTGAACCCAGGCTATAATCTTCCACCTCCTCTTCCTCTGGCCTTGATGCAGAATGAGCTCCTTCTTCTTCATGCTCCCCTTCTACCTCCTCAATGGTTTCTGTTGTCCCTTGACGAGAATAGAGCATGGTGACCTGTGTAGGTTCACTGTCAGGGATGGATGAAGAGAGAGTTGAGGCTTACAAGGCTCACCACCAAGCAAAGTTTATTAATTGTGCCTTTATGTAGACAGCTGAGCAACCCCATTGCATTCCCAGGCCTTCAAAGTTCATATACTTTGAAGTAGAAAATACAGACAATAGATCTATTATAGCAGAAAATACAGAAAATAGGTAGAAAATATATCATCATGATCTCTTACACAGATGGAGCATCTGCCCCCTGAACAACATCCCAGGGAACTCACAGTGATTCACTATCTTTTCACACTAGCAAAGGGCAAATTACTATCATCATCAAGAGAAACTACACTAACTTTCTGAAAGTAGTTCAACCACCTTCTGACCAGAATCAGGACTTGCTATTGACACCTATTTAAAGCATGCTCCCATGGTGAATGATAGGCAGCCACATGGGGTTCCTTCTAAACATGGGTGCTGTATACGACTGGAACATGAGCTGAACACACACATCATCTCTGATTCCAAATAAAATAACAAGTAAATTGCTAACATGGAGAAATACAATCCAGATGACAAAACTGTTCCAGTAATGGGGTATCTTGCTTACCTTTAGATTGCCTGATGTTCTTCATTACAGTCTCCATTTTTACCTTACCTGCCTGCTTTTCTCCTGTGTGTACCTATTTTCTTTTTCAACTGTTCTTATTCACTGTTCAGTTCTCTGCTTGTTCACCTTCCTTATTTTCAGCCTTGCATGTCCATAACCACTTTCTCTCTTAATGTTCTGTGCTCTGCAACAGTCTCAGCTGATGTAAATTCATGCAGCTTGATGAGTCCAGATGGGAATCTGGACACCATAATTTAAAAAATATTTTCTTGGCTTTGCTTTTGCCCTTTTCATCCCTCACAAGTATCTTTTCACCTCTCCTCTTGAACATCACTCTTTCTCTTGTTAAGTTTCCATTCCAGTCCTTCTCCATAGGTTAGACAATAGCCATCAACTCAGTGTGTTTTGTTGGCTGCATGTTCTTGTGTCTCAACAGGGACAAAAACAGATTTCACATAGCTCCTATGAAATGAATGGGGCCATGTTTTCACTAAAGTATAATCTTTTAAAAAAAACTGGCATTGGCAAAGCCAGCTGGCACTACCATCTCCTGCCAAAATTAAAAATTAAGTTCCATCTCTCTTTATTTTACAGTGCTTCCAAACTTATTGTGGCTAGGTTAGATCACATTATTTCTAGCAAACTCTTAATTAGAATGGGTAATACTATTATTAGGATGTGTGTTTTGATGATTCATGGTAGCACTTATCCTGATTAAAATGCACAAACCCATAAAATCCCATCATTTCAAAACTGATCGACACCAGAAACTTGTAAAACACTTTAAACACTGAAAAAGAATTATCTAATATGTTATACCGTTTCGTATTTATAATATTTATAATACTAGTTGAAACATTGTTTCCCAATGTCATCCAAACACCTGGTTTTTACCTGCTAAAGAGTGAGTGCATGGCTCTGAACAGTTCTCTCTTGCACTGGATATTTAAAATTATTCACTATCTTTTCATAGCTATTTTTCCTTTCTTAATTCCAACACCTCACAGACTGTAAATCAATGGTAAAGTAATCAGAACATATTTAGCAATCTTTCCTATATGTGGAAAACTAAGAACTGAAAGAGCAGGGCCAACATGTGCCTATCTTAGTTTCTAAAATTAGACATCTAAATCCATATTTAGGATAACTGATTAGCTGAGAAACTTCACTTCCAGCTTCCAATTTTAATAAGAATAACCATCAGCTTGGTAACTCTGAAAATCAGACTCTTTTTTTAGCTGAATAAATATGGACTTTAGCCTGGTTTTAGACAGCCAGTGTAATGTAATGGAACAACTTTTAAAAATACATGAATTAAGGATGAAAACCAAAATAAAACAGAATAAGAAGTGAAACAGCAAATGAGTCTGAGATTATGGCCCTGACTTTGAACCTCAGAATTGTGCCACAACACAGAAGGGGGTAAAGCTTCCATTAACCATGCAAACCACTCCGTACACCACGGATGCGCAAAGGCAAATTTATGTAGACTGCAGTAAGTACAATGGTACGGGTAACTGAGTGAACAAAGCATGCATGAGTTAAGCACCTTGACACTATACTGCCACTGTCAGCTGATGAGGAGGACATATCCATGCTCTGCATTTTACGAAGCCTAGGTCGAGCGCGCTCACTTGTTTTAGGAACAGTGTCTGGTCCATCTAAATCATCAAGGGTTGACTGCCTTGAGAACAGCATGGTTGCTTCAGTGTAGCAGCTAGCAGCGCAAACAGTTATAAAGACAGTGTTAAATACAAATGGTATTACTATATACATGGTTCAGTAAACAAATATGCTCGCCATGCAGCAAAACACTGACACAGAGAAAAAAGGTTCAGAGAGAAGATAAGGATTTGTTTAGAGTCACCATATAAACGCATTTCTACACACAGATTGCTCATGGTCATATTCATATAGGGGCTAGAGAAGGCTAACAACCGTCTATTCACTATTCAAAGAGATACGAAACCAACACAATGCCCTACGTGCTTTCCCGGGGCACCAACTTACATATGTGAAGAGGTTTTATATTCTGTTTCCCCCTGAAATTTCCAAATTCCATAAAAATGTTTTGGGAAGTGACGTCCTCTGTACCAATCTATTTTATTAATAATATACTGTGCTGAACCTTTTTACACAGGTACAAGCCAATTTCCTAAAAGAGCCTTTAAAACTGAATAAGCTCATATTCCACAAATAGAAAAATAGCTGTCAGACATTGGCTAATCCTCTTTCCGAACCAAAGAGCCAAATCGGATATGTTACTTAGCCAGCAGATGCATGCCAAATATAACCTGCTCTGCATGGGATGGCTTTTATTTTGATATTTAGTAGTAAGCCATGATGATTCTTTCCAGAAGATTTCATTTATTTCAATCATAGCTTAAAAACTATTTCAAAATTGGTAACATGCACATCTTGAAAGAAAGAACAGGTATAATAAACCCTTATCTCCTTTCACTTATCAAATACAACAGGACACCAGAGACATATACCATACATTGAGCATTTATGCGTTACTAGAGAAAAGAAGAACTAGATGAGTTATGAGAAGGAAAATACATAATTAAATACAAGCACATAACACAGCAACAGGAAGGAAGCAAATACATTAATGACATATGGTAGGTAAAAGAATTATTTCTTCTGTAAAAATCTTTGAAACACACAAATCTCTATGAAATACGTTGAGGAACCTGGTGTTTTAACACATGTAGTGACCTGCCTGAGTCTCTCAGATAGAATGAGAGAAGGAAGGACCCCAAAACGCAGGATTTACACTCTACTTTTCTTCTTCTGAGTCCATCTGTGTTACACCTGAGCAGCGGCAGCAGGCGATTTGCTTCCTTGGCAAGCATTATGTTTGTCAGGGGCACAGAGAGTTGGGAAAGAGGTCAGAAGGGAAGCGCAATGGCGTTTTCCGTGTCTTAGGTCTTGCTAGCTTGAAGTCAGGAAAAAAATCTGCTGGCGTGAAACGACAGTTTGCGATCATTGCCTTAAGGAAAATGGGGAGGAAAACAGCAAAGTATGTGGAGCAAAGCAGCAGTTATTCTTAGGCCTATACTCACCGATGGTCGTTTTTGACAGAATGGGCTAAGGCTAAAAGCGTACTTTGCTCTTTGAATAGAAGTATCACCAAGATACCAAAGGTATGGTGAAATACTTTCCTTAAAAACAGTATTAATGGCAGGGATATCTCCATCCTGCCAGTTCATTTGGCCAAGACCCTTTACAAGCCACTTCATTATTTCTGTGTGTGTGCAAAGGCACACAAGCGTTCTCCAGACAAAACCTGGAGGGCTGTCGGCACGGTGCAGGCTTTTGATGGAGGAGCAGATGCTGCTTCCTACAGGCACAGGAGGTCCACCCTAGAGGCCGGATTCGGCAGCATGGCAGTCAGTCGGAGCTCCGTCTTACTGACTCTGGGCGGTCATGAGGGAGGAGGTTTCCCTTTGCACGTACGCCTGTGGAGCGTACCCAGGCTGCTGTACTATCAGTGAGCTTTTGCTGCTAAAATATGGAGGGATGGCAGCAAGCAGACAATCTGCTTTTGCAGATTACCTTTCTATGTGGGTGCTACAGTGTTGTCCACATGTTATTTTACATCTCAGCGGCTGAGTTTATTCAAGAGCAACACCTCTTACTAAGGTGTTGAAGTATTTTCAGTGCAGACGTAGTTCAAAGGGAACTTTCCAAGGGCCATAAGCAGAGCAGCTGTTGAAATCAAAGTAGCACATGCCCGTTCATAGATTTTCAATGGAAGAAACATATGCCAGCTGCCCTCCAAAACATGTAAGTTCTGACCTGGGTCCCAGAAAAATCAAAGGAAAAACATCTATTAATCCAAATAGATAAAAACGTTTGCCCAGACGAAGCCCCTGCAATAATTTGGTTCAAAGCCCTTTTAAATGCAGGATGAATCGTCAGAAGAATTATTGACTGAGCAGCTGCTCTGCATCCTTAAATGTCAGGAGATGTGCATGAGATGACACCTGTAGCACAGTCTGTATATTCTTTATGTACTTCAGAAACATGCTTCCCAAGATGGAGGAAATGAGAACACCAATAAAGTGGAGAGATTTACACTTGGCAAAGCTGATTTTGACTCAGTCATTGACTATCACATAAATTTAATCCAAGCACATCTTCCTGAGTGACTTTTGATTTTGTCCTTGGAGACCTTGAAAAGCATTAGCTTCTTTAAATTGTTCAAGGACTAGGTATTTTAAATTGAATGTTTATTAAAAGCCCCAAATTCAATCATTTCATATAGAGTTGATTGGGTATCCATTTCAAATGGGGATATATACAGCTGAGATGTTTTTATCCTTGGTGAGCAGGAAACTTCTTACTTTATGACTTCCTTTTTGCTAAACAAATTTACTCTTCCCAGAGAGTTTATTAGCTTAGAGGGTAACTTACAATTTTTTTCAGTTTTTTTTCTGTTCATGGGCTAGTTACTGACTGGCATTACCTTTATAAACCACTACACTCCCCACACCTGCAAACAAAGATTCCAAACATTTCCTATTACTCACACTCCTAAATCAGGCCCAGATCCAGCCCCAAACCGAGACTTTCATCCTTTCTCCTGCCTCCCACGGCAAATGTTACTTCTCCAGTACTCCCTGCCTCAAGTCCTATTCTCCCATCTGGTGAGGGAAGCACAGATGAAAAATGGTCTTCATGAACACCCTGACCACACTTGTATGTTCACTCTTACAGGAGTAAGTGCTCCCACCTGCAGCTCCTATAAAAGCCTACACACAGGTAGAGTTGGGAACTGAATATGTTATTTGTGATGGACAAAAAATAATACAAACTGAACTGAATACAAAACCTTGGATATCCTGAAATCTGACTTAGGACCTGCGTCTAGCTGATATTTCACTGAATATTTTATTTGTGATGGACAAAAAATAATACTGAATACAAAAACTGAACTGAATACAAAACCTTGGATATCCTGAAATCTGACTTAGGACCTGCGTCTAGCTGATATTTCATAATCATAGACAAAGCCCCATAACAGCAGCCAACTGGTTTTAGTAAGTTCCCAACCATGTTACTGAAAGTCACAAGCTGTTTAACCTAACAAGCAGTTCATCAGTCAAATGGAAACAAAGGGCAGCGAATGCTCCACCATGCGAGCTCCCAATTGCTTCTGGTGGTGTTCCTCAAAGAGCTTGTTAAGGATCAACATCAGTCTCCTCTCCTGCTGGCCCATATGAACTTTGCACTTTGCCTTTAGGACACATGAGAGTATTTATACATAAAGAGAAACCAAACAATTACATTATGAATAACTCCTTACACCTCTAGCTACTGCACAGAAAAATGACATCCCTGGATAAGGTGTACAAGGGTCAGCCCTGGACTTCACAAGAAATTTACAGTTCCTGCAACTCATAAGGAGAGTTGTTCTGTCTGGAAATCCAGTGTTTAGAGCACTGAGCAGATACCTACAGTAATTCCTGTCTGTAGGAGTACTGAGGAATATGTATTATTACAGTGGAATAGCTTCTATGCTTCTGCAGCCCTGTGTACTTCCAGACATGCCCATCTTACTCATGGACCTAATGTCTGCTACAGAATTTTGTGTAGGGCAACCGAAGAATGATAACCAGAATGCTGGTTAGAAACCCTCTGCCCCTTCCCAAAAGTTTTTCATTGCAATCCTAGATCCATGATCACAGGAATGCTTTAGATTTAACTAGCTGCTTTTCCATTTACTGGAAATCATTACTTTGAAATGTAAAATGCTCCCTTCTCTTGTTTGGGCAATTAAAAAAATCACTCAATAAACAAAAATGAAGTTTAAAAAATTTCACATTTCTAAAATAGCTCTTAAGCACTTTTGTCATCCCAGGAAGAGACATGCAAGGGTACCCCGATAAACAGATGGCATTATCATTCAATCAACAGACTCATTTTTGCTTCCTCTAATTACAGGTCATTATGATTATAGTAGATGTGCACAATTTGTAAATACTCTTAGTGCAAGAATATTTGATTTTTCATTACCAGAAAGAGAATTTGAGATTAGAGAAATCAGTCATAATATTGCCTTTGCTATTCCTTTGTTGATAGGTCCTGTGACATCTTCTGAGGAAACGGAGATGACAGTAAGATGTGAAAGATTTAACTTTTTCTGTTGCAAAGCAGATTCACAGAATCATTGATTTCTCTGAGTTTGAAAAGATATTTTAAATGTGTAAATATGCTCAAAGCAGAGTGACAAATGGGTGGTTATTCTGAAAAAAAAAGACATTAAGTGGAGCTCAACACTGGATACTATCTCATTGAAGAGGCAGTAGTTACACATGAAAATGACAAGATTTGTCTTTCTTTTTTACAACTCATTTGGAAATGGGCTTCCCTGTGCTAACATGGTTGTATAATAATGATAACTTCTATCTATAGTAAACAGTGTGACCAAAAACTATTTAATGAAAGCAGGACTGGTACTACTATTCTTTCTTTAGGTGAGACTGAACTTTGTGGAGTTGAATTATGCCCTGCAGATATCCAAGTGGCTCCAAGTGAGCTGGTAATAGAATTTGGCTTTGCATTTTTCTCATGTCATCTGACTCCTGTAAAACTTTGAGACAAAACACAAAGGTGTTGCTTAGTTGGGTAGCTAGCCACCAAGAAAGATTTCCTCGGATTTGGTGTTTTTACTGGAGTGAACCTCTCAAAGGCCCGTGCTTCACCCTGGGGAGCACTTTGTGAATATTTTGTTGAAGCATAGTACTCACAGGCGCTTTCTTACACTTGCTTTTCAATAACATCAGAAAGGAAGACAACCCCTCGTTATTTTCAGTCTGCTAACATCTACCCATATGTCATTAGTAAAAGCTAAGCATAATTTACCGTACACAGAAGCTACAGAGTTTGCTGGGAGTATCAAACACAATATGATACTGCCACACTTCAGAGAAGAACAGGAGACAGGAGAATGCAATGGAATATGGACCAGCTGGATTTCCAAAGCCCTCCCTTCTCCCTGACATGTTGGGCAACTTCTGCAGTCTCTTAAAAGTCAAGAACACCAGGGACACGGTGGGAACAGGCTGCCTCTGGAAGAGAAGGAAGTGAATGTGTGTGCCTCTGTGTGCACGGAATGGCAGGAGCATGCAGTAGTTTTGGCAAGGGATTTGACAGCATCCGTCTTCAGAAAAGAATGAGGAAGGTGGTTTTCCTAAAATAGTATGGGTATTTGATTCACAAACTGTGTAGCTCTGCTGGACTGTAATCATAGCAGTTAGGAAATGAGTCTCTTCAGATGATCTTTGCCCTGAGTGTATGAGGGGGGATTTTGTTCTCTCAAATCCAGAATCTGGCTCAATGCAAAGCCTTTTTTGATTTGTGGGCAACAGACAACAATTTATTTTACAAAGACAAAATATTCACAATGAATGGTCATTCCCCAAACTCCACGCCCGAATTCCTAAAACAGCATGCCATAAACATCCTCAGCAGGCTCTTATTTTCCATTACTTTTTAAAAGATCAGAACCCCTGTCAATGACTCCTAATTCTAGGGGAAACAGAAAGCAGTGCAGTAGTTATGCAGTGGCAAGGGAGTTAAGCCAACACTATAAAGGAACAGTAACCTGTAGCAGAGTTTTCACTATTAAAATAGCATGGATAAATCAAAAAGAGGATTCAATATTGATTAGAAAGTTCATCAGTACTTAGACATTATCTAAAATTATGTCGACTGCATGATCCCTCTAACATTCACAAAATAAAATTAAATCAATACCTGGACATACTGTCACGAGAAGCTGCTGAATCTAAACTATCCATTCTTTCAGATGCTTTCAAACCAGAAGTTTGACCAGGATTTTTATCAATTGAGTCCAGTCCTGACTCCTTAGAAAGTTTCATCATGTGGTTCTGGTAATACATATGGATGCTCTCCCGTGTTGGAACATTTCCCTGTGGAAGAGAGTAGAGAGAGAGGTACATGGCAGCGGCGAGGCGTATTCTTTGAGTAACTGGTTTTTTCTGTCATTTGGAAAGGAACAGATTAAGGACTGTGCAAACAGCTTCCTCGTAAATAATAAACTTCCACTAGTAGTTCCTCTTCAGGCTGCAAGTCGGATTCTGACTTAAATTACCATGGCACAAAGCGCTGGGTTTTCAAGCAAAAGTGGAGCATTTTAAGTGATTTCAGGCTATATATAGCCAACAAAACTCTGCTGGGTGGACTGCTGATCATTCATCATGAAAATGAGGTGTGGGCTGGGACCATGACTCAACCTGTACTCTAGCAACTTTTGAGATACCTCTTTCAGATAGTTTCACTGACTCTAAGAACAAGAACAACCATACATCTTATTAGTGGTCAGTAGCAGATTTTTAAAATGGAAAAAAAAAAAAAGAAACAGGTCATGTACAACCTGATCTAGATTTTCATTAGTGCCCCAAAATAAGAATTTATTCATGAAGTATGGATGCAGTTGAAAAACCATGAAAAATACACTGAAGACCTTTACTCTTTCTCTGTGACTTGAAGATCAAGCAAGTTCATGAAAGGAACTGTCAACCCAGATCTGCGCAAAGAATCGAGTCTTTCTGGCTATGATATTGCAACCGGAATTCTAAAGGTGTGTTATAAGAATAAAACTGAGAATTTCATAGCCTGTTCTAAGGGAGAAACACATCCAACTCATTCCACTAGCCAGTTGCATTGACTTCAGAAGATACACTGAGAGAGAAGATTGCTATTCTTGAATCGTTTTTTTTCTGACCTGTAACAAAGCGTTATGCAAGGACTTTTTCCAGCTAAAATAATAAAAGTACTCTAAGACACTGCCCATATTCCCTTTACTAATATTATTAGTTACTAGTATTTCAACTCTGGTCCTCTGCACTGTCCCAAATCTAAAATTTTCAAAATCTGGAGTTTTGTCAAAAAAATCTTAAGAACAAAATCTGAAACTCAGGTTTTTAATTAAGTTTGTTTGTATACAGGCTGTGTTGCTTCTGCATTAATAAATGTTTGTGACATTATGACAGCCTACCTCTGAAATTATGGCACATGCTACGTTCTAGCTCGACTGTAGGTCTGGGATAAAGGACAAGAGCTGTGACAGCAAAAGTGCCCCACAACTGATGGAAGACTCAATTTCAAGTTCTTCTGTAGCTGGAGGAGAGACCAAAGGAACTTCATACATCAGGTTAACTGTCCCTGACTCCACATCAGACATAGAAACGTGTCACCATGATGGTTGCAGCAGGAGCCTCCTTTCTTGGGCAGCAATGACACCCACGAGGCTGCTACAGAGACTTGGGAATGTTATGGAGATATTGATGATTCTGATGTTCATGGGTACCAATATTTCACTGAAGAGGAGAGGAAGATCCTAGGAAAAAACCTGGAGTTTAAAGCTATTGACTGGGGAGGAAATTCTTTGAAGGGCCCCTAGTACCAGAAGATTTAGGATTGAAGCAGGATATATCAGCCTATACAAGGACATATGGCCTCTATTGTAATCAAAATAGCATCAGGCTGCTGGCAACATTAAATTTAAATAAATAAGTAAATAAATCTATTGGGAACAAAGAATTCTTCTGAGGAGAAGACTCCATGCAGATTTACACAATCAGGAATAGTAGGGCAAAATGGAATATACCTCTGATCTACAAGAGACCCCAAAATGATCAGGAAGTGGGTTTAAAATGAACAAGAGGAAGTACTCTTAAGCACACCATATGGAATGACACTACAGAACTCTGTATTGTAGGATCTTAATCCAACATTAAAAATGGGTTACAAAGAGACTAGCCGAACTCCAAGAATATCGATTTCTTGGTACTATTAAACATAATGATCCAGATGCAATTTCTGGTTTAGGGTGCCTTAAACCATCCATCGTCACAGGCTGGGACAATACTCCAGACGAGGATTTACTCTGAATACGCCGTGTTTCTTTTGCTCTGTTTTGTTGTGTTGTGTTGTTGGTTGGTTTTTTTTTAGACAATTTATTTATTTGCTACTGTTATTATTGCTTACTATTGGGCACCTTGGTGAAAATAGCAATAACTAATCACTAACGCTGAAGCAGCCTGCTCTTCGTGCTCGGTGCCTTCTGGCCAGGCTGGGTACAGATTCTCTCTGAGCAGGAAAGCCTGCCTCTCGAACCTCCTGGGGCCGTGGGCAGCCTGTTTATTGTGCCAGCAGACGTCCACAGTGGCTGGGTAACACGGGGCTTTATTAAGTTCAAGAGTACTAATGTGTTGTTGACCTTTTCATCCTATTTATCTCTGAGACAGTCTACAGCTCTTAACAAAAACTGGAAACAACTAAAAATGAGGCTTCTATGCCAGGTTTCCAGAAATAGTTGGGTAGCTAGTGACATATGTAAAAAAACCTGTGCTTAAAATGAGAGTTTTATCCAACTTCAGGGTATCACCTACTTGCATTTTGAGGATCCAAATACATTTCTAGTTACACTGTCAACATTAATCTTTGATAATAATGGGGTTTATTAATAGATAAATAGTTTGTGGAGGACCACATAGCTTTACTGCGAGTAAAGAAAATTATACCTATATGTTGTCAGTCACTTCCAAGGCAAGTTGGTCTACAAAAAGACTGAAATGTGCAGACTGAGGTGGTTTTTGAGCTGTTTAAAATGCCATGCCTTCTCCTCTCTACTTGAATCTATCCTGTCCCCTCAAAACCACACTTTATCACAGGAGTGTTTCAGCCAAATCCTTATGTCACCGCTCAAAGAATTATTTTTCCAATAATTTGTTTTGTGTCCAGATAATAAATCAAGTCATTTATTATTTATATATTTCTAAAACAGCAAGCAGTAAAAGAGTGCAGACCTATTTTTAAGATGCACATATAAGTGAGATTTTTATGATTTTTCTCCTTAACACAGTATCTGAAAAGACAACCTTTCATTTTTCACTGAGCTGGAAATGGCATTAGCAGACAAAAAAGACCAAAGGCGTTACCTTTTTAATCTCCCTGGTCAGCATACAGCGCTCGATTCTTAGCACAGTGGAGATATCGATGTGTTCTCTTGAGATGGAATTAAGCCAAGCCGTAAAACTGTCTAGTGTTGCCAGAAAAAGGACCCAAGTGAACTTCAAGATATTAAATATCCTCTTGATGATGTTATCTAAGGGAAAGGAAAAGCGACATAGAGAGTTAATGAACACAAATATCTTTCATTGTATTTCTGCTTGGAGTTAGATTCTTTTTTCCTTTATTGTCTAATAATAATAATCCAGGCTGCAAGACCCTGTCATAGTAAGGGATCCCTGAAGAAGCGTGGAGACCTTTTGGCTGTCTGGGCCATTTTCCTGCCTGTATGTCTAGGCTTATCATCTGGAATCCCTTTTCTACCCCGTAACTGCCTCGTCCTGCAATCACTAATCACAGAAGCAATCCCTGATTGCTGTATGCTGTATGCACAGGTCTGCGAAATGAAACCAGAAGATTTGGGCATCTCCCAAGAGCTATTCAGCATCCCCAGCTCCTGTGATCCCAGCAGCCGCTCAGCCAGAATGTTGAGCGGAACCCCTTACCTGTCTATTTACTTGCGCACCTCTCTCTCTGCACAGGGTTTGCCTTTTGTGCTTAAACCTCCCTGAGCTGAGTTTTAAAGTCTAACCTGCCTAAACAGTCTTTGAATCTCTCCCCATTTTCCAACCCCCTAAACACACCTCTCTGTATTCATTGTTTCCAAAGCCTGTCTTTTTTTAAATAGGCTGCACTGTGTCATCAGTGATCTCAGATCAACTATCATATAAATAATTTATAAAATGTTACTTTTGCACCATTTTGCAAAAACAGTACACCTTCGCATGAGTAGGGCTTTTGGGTTTATACCAACAATAGTACCTTTATTTTGTTCAACATGGCTGTCTCAATTAATTTCTCAATTCAGTAGTTCCATTAGTATTAGTAACTGCATTTCTCACCCAAAAAGCATCTCTTTCAGCCTATTTTTATTCCACTCACAAACATACGCACAACACTACAGTTCTTATATAGTGTTGCACAAATACTAAAAAATTTCTTTCCAACTAGCCAGTTCCAGAGCTAGTTTTCCATGCTAGGTTGCAAGTCCCAGAGCACTAGCTATAAAGATCAATTTTAGAGTAACCAGCCTAAGAAGTAACAGAAAATTGTCACTAATCTGCCGTGCGGGGACAGAATGTTTGAAGTAGATACCAAGGAGCCAACCTATGTGCCAAAGCACGATGCTTTCAACACCCTCACTTCTTAGGTGTGCCACAAGATGGCACGCAAAACTTTGTGCAGCGCACGTTCGCTCCTTACAAAGAATGCAACGGTGAAGTTCTAATAAAGCAAAAGACTTCCTACGGAGGAACATGCACGTGTCTCTGGGTGTGCAGGCAAGGGTGTATGCACATACGTGTGGAGAGCAACTAAGGAAAAATCTCATTAGTGGTACATTCTTGTAAAGTGGACGCCGAAATGGCAGTACCTACCATTTACCTGAGCAATGCCATGGAACTGCTCTGGTATTTCTGAACGTAAGAGCATTTAGCCCCTTTCACTTGGTCGTATAATTATTTCAATAATATTTTGCCCTTTTTTTCAGGCTTTTTCTATGTCACTTAGAATTGGAGATATTTTATGATTTATCTACTTAAATTTTGTTCACTCATATTTCAAGATGAAGGTCTTGAAGCTGAGGAAATCTTGCCATGGGAAATTAAATGTAAGGCTGTTTCTACTTCAAAGAGCATTAACTTCCTTTGAATTCCAGATAATATTAAGAATAGGTTAAAAGAAAACGTAACACTCATACGCAAAAATATACAACATATAAACGCTCTTTTTTAAGCCATACTCTTCCTCCGAAATATATAATTTCTGGTACTGACTTCAGGAGAATTGCAGCTCTCAGGTTAAAATTACCTTTATTATTGACCACCACTAGCATGCCATAGTCTCACCACAGTGCTTTGCCAAGCTCTTCCAGTCTAATCTGAGAGGTCATTTTTCTCTCTGGGTTGGAGGTGATTTAGTATACATTTTTAATGATGCTGTAGCTGTTCTGGCAGCTTTGCTGTTCTCCAAAACTTTAAAAAAATAATCTTTTGGGGATCGATTGCATCTAAACATCTTCAAAAAGGGAAACAAATATTTATTTTCTGCAGAGACTGTTGTTCTAACTTAAAGGGTCAAATGCAGAGAAGGCTCCTCTCTGCCTGAGAGCGTGAGACAGGATTTGATCTAAGGTTAATAATGATACTAATGCTTCATTAACAGTTACCATATAATTTTTCCAACCATCATCTTTAAGAAATTTTATGTAGGAATGGGCAAAGTATTTCAACAAAACTATAAAGCACCTTAAATTTACTATTTCCAACATAAATGAATCATAAACTTCCTTCTCTTGCCCTAACTCCCGTGTAGCACCAACAGTATTTCCCTAGAATGTGTTTCAGTGAATCCCTTCAGTGTTTTAACACAGGTAACTGCATTGCCAGTAAGTAACAAATAAAAAAGCCCCCAAAACCCCACGAAAAAAACCCTATAGCAGTGCAACTCATTTATTTGAGAACACTGCTCTTGTGGGAAAGAAATGACATCTCCCACATCCTTGTACCACCTTGTACCCTGTGACTCACTCAGGGATACAATTCTAAATGGAACTGTGGTAACCAATTTTAAACAGAGAAGAAAAATAGCTTTTGAAGAAAAGTCTCACTCAAGGTAAGCCATGACAAAGACTTACTTAAGAGAGGATTCTGTTTTCTTCCTTTACTCCAGTTAGAAACAAAGAGCCAAGCTTAGATTTATGATCTATTACACGTCTTTGTAGGAAAACTTTCAATATGGGCAAGATCTCGCAGACTGCTGGCATTTCTTCTGTTGTACAGAACATCCTTAAGTCTGATTATGAATGAGAATGGGTAAGATCAGGAAAATCCCATTTTTTTCAGAGGATATTATTGTACCTTGCTAAATGGGTGAATACCAGATAAAAGCATTATATTAACCTTGTCAAAACACACTGAAAAAAACACAAGGTCTTTGTGCTAATAACACTTCAGACATCCAAAATCAATGGAGATTTTAACACAAGGCTGTATGCAATCAGGACTGGAAGCTAAGCTTAGGTGTAAGTTGTTTTATAAGTAAAATATACAGCAAGTGATCAAGTTTGAGCCTGCAGATGTATTTACTGAAGTGTGCAGAGAATGAGTGCAGTAGCTAATAGTCCAGGAGTAGAAGTTCCTACGCTCAGGACTTGTAAATCTGGCAACTGAAAATCTGAAAGAAGTTAGGAAGTGCACAGGTTAGAGTGAATTTTGTGGCTTTCACCCAAACCTGGGACCACTGCAGCGCTGTCTCTGTGATACGCTGCTTACGCCACCAGTCACAACTGCATCGTAACAGCAGAGAAACCCTCTTTCTGCCTTCATACCTGGCCCGTCAGATTTCTTCTTGACAGGTTCCTCTTCACTGTCTTCACAGTCCGCATCAGTACCACCTGTTGAAAACAATGAGCGGAACAGCGAGCGTTACACCTATGGAAGTGCGGGTGTACATGCCATTCAAGCTAGAAAAGTTACAGCTACTAAGCAGTAGCGACTGGTTCCTCGCCTACCACTACAACAGAAAGTGCATTTCCATTTCTAAAGGGCTCAGGTGAGGGGACAACCCTGCCAGCGAAGGTGTTCATGGATGATCACCCCTCTCTTGTAATTTGCAGTGGCATTTCCTTAGTAGATAGGCTGCTGAGCAAGATCATCTGCTGGTGTAAACCCAGGCAATTTCTCAGTCACGCCGCTTCCACCCTCAGCAGCCTCACCTTCCGCCGGCTCACACTCGAGCTCCTTTCTTCAGCTTCTGCAAAGGGCAACCTGACCAGTGCTCTGATCTTCTCCTGCCTCTGACCCAGCAAGCCCAAATGAATTGAGTGAGACTTTCAGGTTGAAATGAAGCAGCAGAGTTGGTTTGAAACTACCATGAGCTTTGAAACTACCATGACTCTCTTTCTATCTACTACCCAATAACTGCAGCTGCAGCTTCAGGGGCAGCACTCCAACTATAAAGCTCCCTCTTTTTGATGGGTGAAGATGCCAAACAGAGGAAAAGTTTAAAATCAAAGAAAAAAATATTTCAGGCTGATTCAGCCTGAATGGACCCTCTTCTTCCTCATCTATACTGACCAGAAAAAGCTTACGAATTTCTGTGTTCTTTTCTTGTTTAAAAAAGGAGCAAAAGATGAAGAGTTATGAACCACTTATAAACTGATTTTTTTCAGAGGCATGAACGATTTTACAGTGCCAGTAAAACCCTATTAACATTTGTATGTTTTCCTTTTGCTACCTGCTGAATTAACTGTAAATTTAGGGGTTCATGGATATCCGGGTTCCTCAGTGAGTATAGCATGGGAAGTGAAAAACATTTCTTGATATTCTTCCCCATGTATCAACTCAAGCTTCTTTAGGAAACAATACAGAAATGTGGCAAAAAGAAATAAAATGTGGCTATTTAATTGATTTTTTTTTACAGATCCACTTGAACTACAGGTCTTCAGGAAGTTCTTCATGAAATACTTCTTAAACACAAAACATAAGTCTGTCCCATGCAAAGCTCTCCCTAGGAATACATGTGAATTTATCACCACAATGAGACACTTTGAGCAACCCTAGAAAAATCTGGAGAGTAAGAAATCTTTTTATGAGGTGAGGGAGTGAAAGGGTAATGTCCTTGCTCTGCCTGATTCTGGCCAACACCTGGCATTTACACTCCCATATTCTGGAGAAATGCTGTTAATTACCAGGTTATTGGCTTTATAAAGTTATGCCTTTACAGGGTTATAGCTTTCTCTTGCAAGTACTCTACTTCCACAAATGTTTTCATATAGCTGATGTTTTCCGCAATGTGTTGAGTCTTCCTATCTTGCAAAAGTTCTGGCCATGTGTCTTGCAACTCCATGGAAAACATGTATATCCCCTCTTCTCCTTTATCTCCCCCAGTGTGCGTTGCATAGAACGAAAGCGAGGTGTTGGAGTCACCATCACCGGAGGCGTTCAAAAAATGTGTGGACATGGCACTTCAAGACATGGTTTAGTGGGCATGGTGGTGTTGGGTTGATGGTTGGACTTGATGATCTTACGGGTCTTTTCCAACCTTAATAATTTTGTGATTTTGTGAAAGGACATAGCTATGGCTGGCCTTGCCATGAGCTGCGGCAGGGAGAGACAGCCAGCCAAAGGCAAACTCATTTTTCCAGTTCCTAGCCAGAACTGAGAGTCCTCTAAAACTCAGCTGCCTTTCACTACTAGGAACAACAGGCAGTCTAGTTAACTTTTTTTTTAAATACAGATGTCTACCTACCATCCACAGATACTTTTCGCCTTCTCTTCTCCTCTTTCCCAAAACTTTTCTTCTCTTTGCGCCTCTGTCGTAACGCTGTTTTAGGGTCAGTAATCCAGGCCTGATAAACAAACTGGAAGGAACAAACTCATTTATTTCAAGGTTTTTCATGTTTTGAGAGTAAGCCATAGAATAACCCATAAGCATGACTATACAGTTTGAGTAAAGGCATTCAGATCTGCAGGGGTAAGGAAATATTTTGAATCCCAAACCAAACACCTCTCCTGCAGATCTGCTGAGTTTTCATGTGCTATTTTTGCAAGCATAAAACCAAATGTGAAAACACTTGTGGGTGAACCAAGTTTCATTAGAACCCACAAAAATTCATGCTCTGAACTTTGGGAATTAATACTCTGTTGTGCATATGGGCTACTTCACCTGAATCTCTCATTTTAATTCTGTATTTCTACTTTACCATCTTACAGGCAAGATGCAGAGTAATGGCAACTTTAAGAGGAATTACTGCAGTCAACTAAAGCATCAAAAGATGTAGTGATATCTCAGTACAGGTATTTGTGCTTGTACGTTTTTCATACTTTAGGTACTTCTTTTCCTCTCTGCAGATCCCCATGGGACAAGTACAGATTTGCTATCTATGCACAGTCCCAAACCTGACAGTCAGGAATTCCTCAAATTTCATCCTGATTTTGACAATGGCTGTGTGTGTTGCTTCAGATAAGTCACTTAGGAATCCTTCTGCTACTGTTCTTCCAGTTGTAAAATGAAGACAGTAATACTTACCTATCAAGGGGATTTTAAGGGGCCAAATCCTGCTCACAGCACTCACTCAGATCAACAGTCTGTTGACCCGTATGACTACATGAAGCATGGAATTGGCCCAAAATATTTATGAATGCTATAGCAGTGGAATAAAAAAAAAAGTAAAAAAAAAAAGTTACCCAAAAGTAACTTTTTGAATAGTTCTGCTCAAGCTGTGAAGGAAGGTTACAGGAAAAAAAGCTGTAACACTCATATCTTTTTTCCCTATATGACATAAAATGTGAATAACAGAAACTGAAGTAACTATATCTTCTCCACAACTCTTTAGGACAAAAGATGTTCTTCTGTTAATTTTATGGTTTTCATTGTAAAATGGTAATCATCCTCAACTGGCACTGCATTGTCTTCTACTTCTAAGCAACACAAGCTGGTAACAGAGACAGGGCAGGGAAGCACACAGATGCAGGCATGAGAGTGAAAATTAAGCACAGTAATAAAACAGCTCTATTAATTCACAAGACAAACATGCAGACAATGACGACAACAACACACGTGTATCTCAGTGAAGCTGGAATTGCCCCCCACAGGGCAGAATGGTAAAATTTCTATTTGTTTTATTTATGTTTTTAAAATTTGCGTACACAAAATCCTTTGGGGCATTAAAAGCAATTTTTAAAAACTGTCAAACTGACTTTAAATTAATTTAAAAGAAAAAAAAAAACTTTGTTAAGTTTTGTGAACATCTACAACAATGGAGAGGAAATTATTTTGGTAGCATTGCTAAGAAGGTCCTCTTCCAAATCTCTCAAGGTCTGTACATTTATTTTCATATGTCTGACTTGTTCAAAACAAGCACCACATGAGAAAATGTGTGGGATCAGAGGCACTGGTTTCTCTTTGCTTTGCAATAGGTGTTTTCTAATGAAGGTCATCTGGGGGAATGGAGGTACGTAAGTGAACTAATACCATATTACTTAGTGAAAGTCAGAAGCTGTCAACATCTACTGTTGAACAGTTAGCTGAGAAACTGTACTCTAGCCACAGTCAGAGTGTGAATAAAGAAATTAGAGGTAAAAGGCTGACTTGGAAGAGGGTAGAAGATTAGAATGAAGAAAGGGCATCTGATTAATAAATTTAATGTAACTAGTTAAGCTAAGCAGTGAATATTTTAAGAGCTGACTGGGTGCGTACATATGTATTACTTTAGGTTTTTACCACTGAACAAATTTTAGATGCAGTATCTTTTAGGCTTTGGAGCTGGTACGCTCAATTTGTAATGCTCACTCCATACAAATATCATGTTACATATACAGAGTGTAAAATGATATACAGTGCTCAAAGGTAGGAAATACTAAATGTATTCAAGGGCAACAAGAGAGAAGATGAACAAATCTTTTTTATGATGATGAAGGCCAGAAAAGTAGAGAGCTAAAAAGGCATTTGGAGCAGACTGTGTGTTTTACAAAGCTTTTACCAGCTTTCTGAGATCAATTACCACGGTGTCCATAAAATACATGCAACTTGACGTGACCGCTTTGTATAACAGTATAAGAAGAAAATGAGAATTTGGGTCTGCATTTTCTCTCCAGGGCTGCACTTAAAAAAAGATAGACCACTTTTCTTGTGTCTGGACCACTCCAAAAGTATGAAATGTATTGCATCTACTAGGAATGAAGCTTTGGCTGTCATTATTTTGTTAAAACATTCATATCAGAGGAAAAATGCAGACAAGGACAGAGGTATACATTACATCAGGAACTATGGGATGGGTCACATACTGAGCACTCGCAAAATATCAAGTACCTTTGCTGCTTTGATTAAATACTGAAGAATAGTTTTGGGTAGTTTAATGACAGACTTGGGCAAGGCTAAAATGGCTGAAGCAAATTTCCCAATAGCTCTCTACAAAGAAGGACAAAGCAAGAGCAATTAGTAGAAAACAAGAAAGTATTAATAAAAAGTATCTACTGAATTACTGTATCTAGATTATTCAGAACAAATTTACATTCATCGACTCAAATATGAAAAAAGATCTTTGACTTTCACAATAAAATTTCAAGAAGATGATTCTTAACTGCCTGCATTCTCTAATAAGTAAAACCTCCAAGTTAACCCTTGAAGTGACTATTGCACACAATTTACACTAATTAAGAAGAGTTCTTTAGCAGCCTCTACAACAAACAAGGTCACTTTGCTAGTATTTTTAAGAAGACCATGTGAATGTTGATGGAAGGTGAATAAGGTACGATGACCAAAAGGTGAACAAGCTTTTCATAAACAAAAACAAATTTCTGTTCTATACAACTCCTCTCCTACATAAAGCGATCCAACATCTTCATGTTGCACATATTGCAGAACTGGCCACATGTACAGAATGTCTGACCAGAATTTTGAAATAAAGACCAGATCCTCCATCCTCAGATTAATAGTTTCAGGACTGAGCTTTAAAAAATAAGACCGAATTAACAAAAAAAGCCCAAAACCCAGAGTAAATGAAAGAATGTGATTAGCTTCTGACCTCAAGTTTAGAACTCTAAAATCTCAGTGCTTGGCACCAGCACATCTGAACTAAATTCTTTCATCTTTTTTTAAAAAAACCAGCAGAAACAAGAATGCAAACTTTCCTCTGTACCTGCATGAAAACCAGAAAGAAAAATGACCTAGAAATTCGTGATCCATTTTTATGGTCCAAGGCGAGTTAAATGCAAAATATAGAAAAAAAATCAGTGTAAACAGTAGAAAAGAAAACTTACTTATCACATTATTTTTCATCCAGATTTGTTTTGCCTTTTTAAGGTCAGGAAAAAATCTTTCCATGTCATTACAAATTAACAGGCAGTTTAACAAATGTAATCAGTTGGGAAGGTAATGTAAGTATATAAACTAAAGGCACACCGTATCAATGAATTAAGTAAAATATTTCTTGTAATTCAGTAATGTCATCTGGGAAGCTTTGTTTGAAAGCTATTGACATAAGGAATAGAAGAGCATGGAGGCAGTTTCTTGCTCTTGCTTGGACTGGGCTTTCAGTAATGCACCAGTTCTGCAGTGACGTGGGCTTGCATCTGGATGGGAATGCTCATCTGCAAAATGCTACCTGTTTGCCTAAGCTTTCAAAGTTACGGACCTGAAAAAGTTCTATGGTACTTCTGAAAATTCTTCAACAAGTAAAACTTTAATCTTATGAAGATTAAAGCAATCCTATAGGCATGAGTATTTCACTAACTTCTTCACCCAAGTTCTTCATTTAAGTCAGTGGATTCAATACCTGGTATTGTCTAACAGCAACCAGTCTATATGTAGGAACCCAGTTACGAGACTTCAGCTATCTTTTTAACATTACAATATCTTCTTACTTCAACACAGTCTGTCACTTAAAATACAACCTATTAATTAACATTATCCTGAAAAAGAAAAGGAGAGAAAGTGATGTGGTTTTCTTTTGTAATTTTAAATGTTAAGCTCTTTATAACCCAAGGATATACTTCTCTGGCCCACTAGGATCAATAATAATTGGGTTTTTTTTTTAAGTATGCATTCTCTTCCATGAAAAGTCACTTATTTTTGAGATAATTTCTTCATGGGATGATAACATCTATTCAAAACCAGAAAACCACTGAAGCATTGTACAGCAGCACCAGAGGCAAGTCAGCTTTCTCATTTGTCTTTTTTGCAACGCAGAAAAAATAAAGCTCAGATTCTTAACCTTTGGTTTTGTATTTTTGTTTTCCTTAGGCATAAGTGATTGAAGATATGATTTCACTATAGTTCCTGTAGGAATTTGTCAAACTTGCATTTTAAATTGGCAAGAAATTTCATTTCCAATACTTTTCAGGTCTACTTTAGATGTACTGGCTGCTTTAACGTATGTGCCTCTGCCATGAGAAGCCTACATTTTTTCCAGATGTCAACTAGAAAGCAAATTACCATAAAGTACCTGAAATGCAGATTTTTTTCGAGGCTCTTCCTCTTCTTTTTTCTCTTCTTCCTCTTCCTCTTCACTATCCGTCTCAAACAAATAATAATTTCCACTTCTGACCACTAAGTGAAACAAAATATTTTATTTTTCTGAAAAATTCTATTCTCAACTGCCTCAAGACCTATGAACAGCCAGCCAGTCATTTAAAAATTCATAACCAGAAGAGGTGAAAACAGAGAAGAAGCAAGAGATGAAAAGGTCTCAGGCAATTTATTTTATATTAGTCGGGAATACTTTGGGCATGAATGAGAACTATATAAGAAGTAAGGAAAACATCACCATGAGAAGAAAACGTAAAGAAAAACCTTGAAGTATATCAAGTTACTAGGTTACATTTTTTAGAAAAAATAGCAATTAATTCTAAATTAATTGGGAACTGATGGTTATTTGAAGGAGTAAAAAAGAGCCCAGCAGATAAGTAATTTAATTTACATGAACAGTACCACTGGACAAAAAATACAGAACTTCTCTTTAAAATGCTGAGGCATTCTTTAAACTATGGAATGGGATGGTATTAGTTAATGCTTTCTTCAGACATTTAAGCTTTGATGAGGTAATGGAAAACCTTGGTTTGTTTAAAACAAATCACTTGGATTCTATTAACATGATCGCAAATGAGTTTCAATTTTTTGCCCATGGATTCAGAAAGATTCTGAAACCTTCATACAGTAAAGATGCACAGTGAATAAGCTAGGCCTTATATCCTTGAACAGAAGCAATGTTTTTATTTCTCAGGTGGTAACAGGCCTACATGAATGAACGAACAAGGAAAACAAAAGAAATTAAAAAATAAGGGAATGAGCAAGAGAAAAATCAAAACCACAGCATTACATTCAGCAGTGAAAACTGGTAAATAATTTCCACATTTAAGATGAAATATTTAAGGGAACAGTTACTTAGATGAATTGTCACACAATCTGGATATATGGAGCAATACATATTTATACTGAAAATTTATATTTAACCCTCATTATAGGTTTCTGGGAAATTAACAAGTGCTTTAATTCAATCATACCTTGAATTCTACACAGATCGTCTGTGCACTGATGACCACACATAACTATCGCAGAAATCTCAGGGTAAGCACACCGTGAAATTTGCCAGAACTCTATTGGATCATAACTTCAGCATCTAGAGCTCCCTCACAGAGGGAATTTTGTGCCTCGTGTGCCTAGTTATGACTTTTAAGATCAATGATCGCCCCGCAGAGGGACGGAGAGTCCACTTCAGCGGTTCTAATTGCTG